AGTCTAGTGCTGAGAGTGGCTTGCATTCTCCCGGGTTCGACCCCCAGTTGGGTCAATGGATTTGCTCACTGCTGATGAGATCCGACCATGTCGAAACAGCTGTTCAGTGCTTCGTAGCTTTTCAGTTCCCACTTCATTTGCGCTACACACGACCAATTCCCACTGAAATTGAATCAAAGCGTCCATCACTCTCATGTAAGATGTACAAATAATTGTTAGTAGGGTGTTAGGGTGGGGGGGGGGGCGNGACAGAAAGTGAGTAAACTAGTCGGCAATGGTGAGATTCAAACACTTTCAGAGCAACGTTACAGCGACCTACAAACCTCGACCACTTACGTCATAGTGAATCAATTTCTAATAACCTTGGCACACAGATAGTAAAGAAGAAAGATATAATCCAAGTTGTTTATATTACATGCTCCTGAAGATTGATAAATGAAACGAGCACACACACACACACACGTTGCACGGAAGTTACCGGAAATCGATATGAACTCGAACCGATTGAAGTTAATCAGTATCAAATATTTTTGTTTTCATTTTTATGCCACGTGAATTTATGGGTGCGGAAGCTTCGATTATCACTATTCATATCTGTGACTGGATTGTTGTAGTCACATGATCAATGGAATTTCTTGTCCCAGAACGATACATTATGCCTGTTGTGTAAGACAAAAGAGATATGAATTGTGACAGGCATAAAAAGCCTGTCGACCGGTCACCTCCCCATCTGATCTGTAGAATGTGAATGAGGTCAGGGATGGAAACATTTCATCGGTTCGCAATCGGGCCCGATACAAGTTGAAATGGTGGTCAGGATGTCGATATTGGGGTTGTACTAGTGAGAACAATACCAGTGATATTGTTAGTACCATCTTATCCCATACGTATCAGGGATGGTTGGTTTCTGTCGGGTCAAATTTTTTCTGACAACGGGATTGACAAAAAGCAATCAACAAGTGGTCTCAGATCACTTTTCGCCTCAGTTTGACAACGATCATTTCGAATGTGGGGCACAAAAATGGGATGCGAAACGGTTAACTGATGATGATGATGTGAAGGTCATGTGTTCGAAAGGCTAGTCTGTTTTTGGTCCCCCGTCAGCTTTGATCTGGCAAATTTTATTTGACTGAAAGGGTTAATATATTTGCCCGGGTGAACATGACCGATTTCGCAGTTACAGTTGCTGCAAATACGTTCGTATTGGGGACTGTTCAATCAACTCACTCATCTAATTGAACGAGAACAAACGTCGTATCTGGGGGGGGGGGGTGGAGGGGGNTATCGGGGGGGGGGGGGCTGAAGGGGTCGCTTTTGAACAGGCCATTCTTAAATTGTCCTTGCTGGAATCATTAGAGTTAGGTAACTGCGGTCGAACTCCATAGATTACGTTGGTTGGGGCACGTGTTACCAAATACGTTGCCACTGCGTGCAATGTTTGCCCGGGGTAGGCGATCAATGGAAAAAGACAAGTGGTGAAAATAAGACCTGGCACAGGGGTATGAAGACCCTAACCAGGAGACTCGTTCACATAGGTCGCGTTAGGCTCCGTAAATGGGGACATCGGGATGATCGGAACCGGTGGTTAGAGACACTGAGGGCTGAGTGTCGTAAACTGTGGCGTTCGTGCATCTACCAACTTTGATGCTGCTCTCTCAACGTTCCAATCTTCATCCTTTCTTTCTTTCCAAACGGGCAACTAAAACCGGCGCATAAAAATGCATGGTAAATGTGGTTCCGAAAACTGAAACATTACAATTGTGGGCCAGGTGCCACTAACCGCAACCGACTCGGTTGAATGTCATTCGTCGAATTTCACGTACTGATCATTCCGGATTTTCCTCAAACATATATTCACTCGATCACTTCATCACCTTTTATATACTATTCTTTATTCAGCCCAAATTATAAACGGACGAGACACGGTCCAGAGGGAACTCTACAGCAAATCTTGGTATTTGAAACCTCTATCGCGGTATACTGATCCTCACTCTTGTTTTGACTTGTCCGTGGTGTTTTTCCCCTTGATTAACTACTTATATGCTCAGATCAGTTGAAACAACACAAGGGGAACGTAGTATCCGGATCACAGGACCAAATTCGCGTGAATCTGTCCAGTTTGTCCGATCATAATTCGGCTCGCCAGCTCTATATACACGATGCGAGAGAGTGAAACATTGTTCGGGTATTATTACAACATTGATTCAAAAGATTTTCGCCAACAGATTTACGTGTGAGAACCGCTCCCAACCCCTCCACACACACACACCTGCTTAATTCCGTCGAATCGGTGGCAGAAAATCTTAGAAACGGATGAATAGCTAGCTGTCGGTTCGGATTAATCAGCTGATTGTAAAATTAAGTCGGGTCACGTCAAGCAACGTTTGATGCAGTTTACTAATGGATGTATGCTATTACAGAGGGAGGATGGGGGATAGATCACATGTTCTTGGTTTGTCAGGTCAGGGTCACGTGAATCGGAATGTGATTGGTAGTTGGGTGGTACAAGGTGGGCATGGATAATCCACACAGTTGTGTATCAGTCAATTCCCACAATATTCTTTCTCTCCATCACACTAGGTCACAGACCACACGAACCCACATTGGTTGTGTGCTGAAGCGGAATTAAACAGCTCATATCTGGCCCTGTGGACTGGCGACACCGAGCCGATTGCAGATGGAAAGGACTACGAATTGAACGGGAACTGCTCAAACTAACGCGGTAGGACTTACCAAATTATCGTACAGAATAGTTCACCTTTTCTTCTCACTAAATAAATACTGTTTTTCTCTTCATTAATTAACTATATAGTGGCCGGGCCTGATGATTTACGGTGTGTTTTGGAGCACAAAGCTCGTACGGTGTAACTATCAGCTGAAGAGATAACGTGAAACAATTGAATTCAACCTGTCATGTGGAGATGCTTGTTCTCGCTCTTATGAAAATAAAGTAATAGGTAAAAAAAGAACACAACGATTAAATAGGAGAAGCGGACGAATCAATTCAAAATAGGTGGGGGAGGGGGATCGAGATTATGCAACAGGATATGCAATCAAACACAGTGTCTATCATATATCACAATCTGGGAAATGTATCCTTTGGACATTCTCCGATAATCGCATACAATACCATAGAGAGAAAGAGGGAAGTGGCGGATAATTGAGATAAAACTAGTTTTACACAAAAAGGGAAACTTCTTGCTAGAGGCGGGGGGGGGCGAGAAGACCTAAGGCACAATCGAAGAATGAACCGGTCTATGGTATACAATAAGTGGGCATAGAAACAGAAGCCATGATCAGAAAAAGAGGACCTCATTCTATGCCCACCAATCAGATGAACTGTGTACCCACCCACCCATACACACACAGGCGCGCGCACGCACGAGAGGACGAATGTTCGATCACCTGATCGGCAAACTGAAGTGCGCACCGCGAATCATATGATCCAAACTGATAGCGAAAGCTTAGATCTGTGCAACAAGTATCGGCAGCGGGGGGGTGAGTGATGCGCTAGAGGTCACGCGCTCAGAAATGCGAATTGGATGCAAAGTTAAACTCTCCTTGTGACGATTATTGGTAATTAGCCGAGGCGAAAGTTAACCGGCAGGCGAAGAAAAACAACAAACACTGAAAATAGTAACCGTAAACAATAATTTTCTTTCGGTTGCTGAATCCAAAGTCTTGTTGAAATTAAGACGCGACACATATTCAGAACCGTAAATCATGTGTTTTTGTGCGTCCTTTTTGGTTGCCGTGTTTTCGGTGCCCATTTGGATGAACAGTAGGAGAAAGATAGGAAAGTTGATAGTATAGTAAGTAAGAGAAAATGGAGAATTTTAGTCGGCTAAGGTTGAAAGAAACTGCGAAGATGCACGAACGCTATTGTCTACGACACTCAGCCCAATCAGTAAATGTCTTTCCAACCGGAACGATTTCAGTCTACTTGGACTTTTGGACTAAAATCATGTGATGGGATCTCGCGATAGTGGAATTTAAACTCAGAGACAGTTATCGACGTTACAGTCACTGAACACTGGCGGCCAAACGAAAACACGATGGCTAACAAGATTTTTGCCGCCATGTTTGAGTAAGCGAACAACACGAATCTAACGATTGATTTATTTGGAAGCATTTTCCACAATAAAAACGAATCCGGCCAACTGGGACAACGATTCCCAGATTGTAAGGGTTACCGAAGGTGCACAAGGAAGGGGTACCCTTGCGACCGATTCTGGATATGTGCAATTCAGCGTACACATTTGCAAAATGGTTGGCTAAATTACTAGAGCCCGTA